TAAAATATCCAGAATTAAAAGCAGAATTAAACGAAACATGAAAAGGGAAATAAAAAGAAATCGGTTATCATTATCTAACTCTGTAAAAGACTATATATATTTTAAAATAAATGAACTAAACCTTCATAAAATAAAAGGTATAAATTATAATCTTATTGATTGTTAATTCTTTATAATAATTTTTCAAAAAAAGAAAATCATTGACTTTAAAAAAAAAAAGCTATTATTTAGTATATGGAATACAAATTTCTTAATGCAGGAATACAAATGAAAAAAAAAATATTATTTAATGTATGGTCCGAAGAATATAAATAAAGAAAAGGGATAATTTAGTTTAACACGTGATCATGCCAAAAATGCACGTGTTCCAATATCTCAAAATTTTCGCATGCATAGAAACCAAACCTGATTTTAAATTTATACAACTGATCTTTACACATATAATGCATGCAGTTAAAAGAGATCTCAAGAATTTTTTTGATGGTCATTAATTACGGTAAATTACTCGATCAAATTAAGGGCCTTCTCATTTCTCATGATAGATCTGATTGGACAAAAAAATATCAGAAAGTTTCAAAGAGTTTCCTATTTAAGCGAGCTAAAAACCATTCAATGATCTTCAATTGATAAAAACGCTCAATCATTATTTCAATTTAATTTATTTTAGTATAATAATAATAAGTTCTCAGCAAGATTTTTCTTCAATTACTTTTAATGCAAGAAACTTTTAAAAAATCCGTTGTTTAAATTTTATGTCAAGCTTATAATTCTATTGATCTGACCAATGCTTGACGGCCTAAATGGTAAAAAAAAAAATCAAGTTTCAAAAACGATATAATTTAAGAAAATTTATGAACTTAAACGAATGGTTACACTTACGTTGCTTAGGAAATTCTTCTACTTTGCGGATTTTTATATTTTTACCGACCGAATATGTCATATGAGAGAGCGAAAGTTATCATAAAGCGTTCATTAAATAATTTAAAAACTCGGAAACGGATTGACGTCCAAAGAACACAAAGTAAAAAAAAATAGAAATTTTTCTGTGATGAAAAATCTACTAAAATATGAAATCATTAATATTACTCTTAAATAATAATATAATTGACTTCTAAGGATTTCATATTACATATAAGCGTGTTGTACGTTTATTAACTAATAGTACTAGGGCCGGCTCTGGCCGGCCTTTTCTTTAGCAAAATAAAGGATTGAGTTATTTATTACAGAATAAAAAAAAAGAAACAATTTCTTTAATTTTATTAATTTATTATAAGATTTTTTATCAAAAAACTTTTTTTTTAATTTTTTATCAAAGAATTTTTTTTTAGATTTATAAGAACCGTTTTTTATGATTTTTTTAATTAAAGAATTTTTTTTTGATTTTTATTATTTTTTATAAAAAATAACTGAATAATAATAATACTAATTACTATTATTATTATTATATAAGTTAATAAAATAATATTATTTTTATCATCAACAAGTAAACTTTTCAAAATTTTCGGTTTGTAATTTATTCGCAATAATGTATAGCAGTTATCCTTTAAAGTTGACCAATCAGATATCACGGTTTTACATATAAAATTTTTTTATTATTAATAAAACGTAAACCCCGGGGCGGGTTCCCAGATCGATTTTAAATTTCAATGTTACATGAACCGAAAAATTGAATTTATGTGACCTCATGATAAAAATAATAAATTTGAAACGTACACGTACATTAGCTGTTAGGTAAATTTCGAATAATATTTACTGTTAAATAATACGTAATTTTCTGTTATGTCTTTTTTCGTTATTTACCGTTCGTTTTAATCGGCTAAGTTATCAAAAAAAATAAATTTTTTGTTTTAAATTCATCTAACTGAAGATATTAAAAACTTTTTAACTTTCTAGGGCTTACATCGATTTGATGATGAAGATTTACCAACCGTCTTTGAGATTTATCAAAATTTACATATATTCAACGTCTATAATAATGATGATGTCTAAATTGATCAATCCTTTCAAGTTTTCTTGAAGAATTCATTTATGGAAGATTCGGAATTATTTTAATAATAAACGGATGTTCCATCCTGATCAATGTTGTACAATTAAAAAAAATTATGTATATTTATTTATTTATATCATACTACAGGTATTGATTTTTTTAATCAAATGTTTATTTATATTATTTACTGTGTATATTGAACATCTTCTCCATGTTTTGTAGAGATGAAGAGCAAAGATAAAGATCAAAATTAAGATGAATGGAAGTGGAGGAATTAGTTGTTGCAACTATCTTCATTTAGTATGATTTTGATTCTATGTTTGATATAAAGGAAAATCTGCTCACTTTTAAAGATGATGGGTTGTACTAATGTAATAGGTTGTATGTCAAATTATTTATTTTTTCTTTGGATATGAAATATCAAAAATTCAGTTCACCTATTACGATATTATGGTGATTTAAATTGTACCATACCTATCCATATGTGAGCGAAAGCAATTTAAATGGCCATCTAAATGCTCTAAATGCTGCTCAAAGGAACTTATTGCAGGAAGTCATCAGTAACGAGCAATGTAGGAATGAGACATTCATTATATCTGAAAGTACAAATCATATCCTGTCAAATGTCAATATGATTTTATTTCAAAGGCAAAATATATTTTTAGAGAATGTGTTTTTGCAGCTACGGAGTGCTTTATTACATCTCATCGATGCTAAGAACATCATTTATACATTTTATAAAGCAAAAATTAGTGATCAGAGGGTATATGTGATGAAGAAAGTATGTGATGATGGTGATGATGAGGGGAACGAAATTACTTCCCAAACTGGGGATATTAATGGAGGATAGACGCACTCCTAATAAATAAGTCAAGGATTATCAGTCAGTCCTTCAGTTGGCAACCATCGATAATGACTATCACTTCAACGAATTCACCGTAATATGCCGCCAAGATTTTCTTTGAATCGTATTGCATTCTAAAGTGTAAGTTTTTTTTTTTATTCCGTCTCTATGCTGTATAATTTACCGATTACTTTATTTATTAATATTTTTTAAAACAGCCTCTGTCATCCATTCATTTGTATTAAACCAATGTATAATATCTATCTAAATGACTTAGATGAGATAATGAATTAAAAATGTAATCGTTTTGCAGAGTATGTTATTTTATTCTCTACACAACTATACAATCATGAGGATTGAATGAATCAGAATTCAAGTTTAAAAAGAAACAATGAACAGAATTATGATCGAAAGTAAGAGTGAGATAAGTAATGTATGTAAATAAAAATTTTTTTAAAAAAAAATCTATGAAATTTAGGCTAATGAGTATTTTTTTTACAGGTTATTATTTTTTTATGAAAACTACTAAGATCAATACATTTATGAGTTTTATAATAATTATTTTGTAATAAAAGAGGGCCGACTAACTTGGTATTAGTGAACGAAAGAATATAATAGAAAGGATGCGAAGGATGTGAAAATATTGCGTTAGTTTCTTGATATATATGGTCCATTATCAATATTAACATACAAAAGTCAATGAATTCCCTTGTTTAAAATAAAATATATATAACAATTTATAGCTATACAGGTTATCACTACCATATATATAGTAAGAAGTATACTATATTAAATTATACTAAATATATTCATTTTAAAAGTAAAAATTAAGCGCGTTATTTTCAAGGAAATATCAATATAATAATTCCTTTCAATTGAGTAATACCATTCGCGTTCAATTGTTTAAAAACAATTTAAAATGAGTAGTATAATGATTTATTTATACGTCCACGCAAGTGTGAAATAATTTCAATTCTGATCGGATTTTTGATCGGGTTTTGGTTTGATATGATAACTGATTTCAAAAAAGTAGAATTTTTTGATCACATAAAAATGGAGCGAACAATCAAAATTGAAATATTTATGTGAGTGAATATGTAAATAAAAAAATATATAAAATTTTATATTTGATACATTTCTGCTTCTATTAAGGTTAGAATAAAAATTTCATGTACTATAAGTAATGATTGATGAATAACCTCACTTTTGTATTTAAAAATAAAATTTTTTTTTATCTTCAATTATGATATAGGCCATATAAATAAAATTGTTAGTTTTTCGTCACCGGCCGGGTCTTGTGAATGTCATGAAAAGAAAAAAAATTTGGCCATGCGATGCTAATCATCATAGTCGTATAAAAACAAATTTTCGGTGAAAATTTATTAAAATCAGCCAATCATTTAGTGATTGGCTAAATTTTTTTCCCGAGCGGCCAGGATTAGTCTATGATTTTTTTTTTCATGAGAAACTAATAATTTTTTTTTGTTTGGACTAATAAATTTAAAATCAACACTGAATTTATTAATATTAAAAATTCTCATTAGTTGGCCAGCATAGTTTATTTGTCAACTTTAACGGTAAAAAAGTTACATATTCTGATTTTCTCAAATTCATCCAAATTACCGGCGACCATGATATTGGATGACATATTCAATTAGTTGTGCTCTAAATGTTTTAAATATGGAAGGGCAAAAAAAGAACTAAGCGAAGTTAATGTTATTGGAACATTTGTACTATTTGATAATCTTTGTAAAGTTGGTACTATTTTTTTTACGAGTTGTGCTTCAAATTTAAAGAGTGTAGTATAGCATAGTATTTTTATGTAAATTCTGGTTTTAAAGCTTTTTATGCAGCAGACTGATACATTTGCATTCATACATCATTATTGAAAATTTCCCAACCTTAAAGTAATATATTAGATACACACGAAAAACAATGAAAAATTTAATTCTATAATTGTGCTAAAGCTAGAAAAATTTTAAATACATATATTTAGTTTTAGTTATAAATAATAAATAATATTCAAAATTACATAAATAAACACATTTTCTTGAATTGTGTAATATTATAAGCGACCTATATAGTATAAAAATATAAGATTACAAGATTTTATTTCTAATGATAGAAATACATTTGTTCGATTTTTAATTTTATAAAATGAATATTACCTTAATTTGGATCTTTTGGATCTAAGAAAGCATATTTTAAGTTATCTTCTAATTTCTTGCATTTACAGATACAATCATCTTGATCACAATTAACATTAATATATTTAATTTTAATTTCACTGGTTTTTTGTTTTAAGAAAATTGGTCCATATTTGTTTTTTGTAGTATATAAACTAATAAATTTTGGGGTTGGCTTTAAAGAATTAAACTTAATAAAATTTAGCAGTTTACTTATTATACTAATATGTTGGAAGGGTGAGATTCCATAATTATCAGAATTAGGATAGTTTGAGATAATAATTGTATAAAATGTAAAATTAGGTAAGTTAATAAAATGATTCTTTTTCAAGCAATAAGAAAATATATATGATCCAATTATTTCATTTTCGTTATTAAAAAAATGATGTCCAATGATAAGAGAATTATTTGAAGAATCCAACTTATTTTTTAATATAGGAATACCAAAGTAAAGAGCTGATGAATCATATTTCGAGTCTAGTGTTTTAATTATAGCTTGACGATTTGATGAATTAAAATCATTTTTTATGATTTTCAGTTTAACGTTAAGATCCGAATGATTAAAATCAAAATTTATGTCATAACCAATGATCATCCATCTGATCTTCAATTTACATTCACGCTTTCTAAATTTTTTTTGAATACAATGAATTATAAGTTTTGGATCTTCATTTGGTGGCCAAACAACTTGACAATTAAAAATATCTTTTTCTTTTTTATCAATAACTGTAGCAAAGATGTTACAATCAGCATCTTTATTATTAATAACTTTTAAAATATTTTCTGGTATATTTAGTTTAAAAGTGTGATGCATTCCAGGTTCAAATAAGTAATAAGTACAATTTTCAGCATTTGTATAAAGAATTTTTTTTTCAACTAATAATAAAATTTGTCTACGCAAATTTTCAGGCAAAAGTTGAAAAATATTAACTGGATCTTTAAATTTTATACAACTCCAGTTTCTAAAATTTCTTAAAGATTCAATCCAATCTGTTTCATTAAAGTTGTTAGAACAAATTTCTTTTCCTCCAAATATTTTAAAACTTTGATATTTAGATGAATTACTTTTATTTAAGATTTCTAAAGACTTTTTTTCAACTTTAATATTTGGAGCCTGACAATCAGTATTTTTAACATATTCACCAGAATTTTCTTCAGAATTTTCTTTTGCAATAAAATAAGCTCTTCCACCCAAAATAACTTTTTTTGGGATAAATTGGCCAAAATCATTTATGAGATCCTTAAATTTTCTAGGATCTTTAGAATCTATAACACCCTTCACTGCTTCAATAAACTCTTTAGTTGGTTCTAATTTTAATTTTAAGGACATTTTTTTGTACTCAATAATATTATAAGTTGAACTGGTTATGATGTTAGAATTTTTGATGTTTGAATTTTCAATTGATACTCCCAATTTTGCAAAATTTGGTATATCAATATCCGCAATTAAAAGAAAATCATTTTTTATAATCTTATCCTCTTCCAAATCGATTTGAATTGTATTATTTTCATATCCATCAACAATTTCATTCATTTCACAATCCACCATTGTGAATGCTCTATTATTGACTTTTTCTAAAGTTACATAGTGTCCATATTCTAATTTAAACTTGTCTTTGAAAAATCTCCAATCAGATTCTGACTTTAAATATAAAGTTTTACTCTTTTTGTCTATAATGTTCTCCAAAATTATCTCCTCTTCATCCTCTCTTGCTATTTCAGCCAATGAACTTCCATTATTATTATTAAACATATTTGCAAATGACAATGTATCATTCATTTTGACTTTAGTATTTTGTTCAAGTCTTTTACGAATTTTTGATAATTTACATTTAAGATTTAAATTGACCAAAACAAATTTTGATGATATATCATCTATTTGAACAGTTATATTAACATCATCTTGTACATTAATGGAATCCACCCTAATTATTTTATTTTGACATAAAACATTAGCCATGATCAAGAACTTCGATTGACCTATCTTTTTGTTATTATTAACACATATGTTTATATATTTGTTTAAAAAAAATAAAATATAACAACCACTTGCATATCATGCGTGTCGCTTGGGTTAAGATAAATTATATTCGATCAAAATATGATCAAATCAAATTACGAAATTTCTATTGTGATTTGGATTATTAAAAATATAAAAATAAATAAATTAGAAAAAATTTGTATAACGAAAGCAGTTTATTTACTCCAGAAAAAATTCTATCCCTTTATATAGTTTTTAATATATATATGTGATTAACGCAGATATTTATATTCATACATTTAAGCGATCAAAATTGGCAAAAAAGAAAAAATGCATTTGATCGTCGGGTTTAATCGTTAAATAAAGATATACAGTCAGACCTTCCATATAAATCACCTTATAAGCACCTATTTTTGAATAAATACTAATTACTATATAGCCACAACTCTGTGAAACAATTCATATCATAGAGGACTGTATATAGGATATACAATATATATATATATTGATTTTTTTGTACATTTCCCATTTTAAAATTTTCTTTCGGGTTTAATCGCTAAATATATTATTATAAAGATTTTTTGCTTTCTTCTTTTGAAATTAGCCTGTTTAATCGCAAAGTATAAACATAATATCAACTTGCTTATCCTGCTAAACTTATTTTTCTGAATTCAATTGATAATTGTTCTAAATAAAGTTTAAAAAAAGTTTTTAAACAAAAAATTTTTTAACAAACCCAACTTACTAGTTTTAGAATTTAGTTTTTATTTAAAAAAATCGCTTTTTTAAAAACAAAAAATAAAACCTCAGTCATTCTTATATTAAAAACAAATAACAAAAATACAGATATTTTATTAAAAAAGTCTGGTATCAATTTTTTTTAAATAAAATTCATTGATAAATTTATTTTTTTTAATTAAATTTTTTTTTTTTTTTTTTTTTTTTTTAAATAAAATTTATTTTTTTTAATTAAATTCTTTATTTTTTTATTAATAAAATTCATTTTTAAATAAAATTCATTATTTTTTTTAAATAAAATTTATTTTTTTTAATTATTACAGTAAATTCTTTAATTTTTTTTTAAAAATAAAATTCATTAATAAATTCATTTTTTTAAATAAAATTCTAAAAATGAAATTCTTTTTTTTTTATAAGTTAGTTATAAGAATAGTTATAAAATTTATAATTAATTAATAAAAATATTTGTAATATTTTCATAATATTAAAGTTTTTTTGAAAATAACTTCTAAAAATTTATTGATAATTATTTTTTCACAATTCCTTAATTAATTCAAATTTCATTCTACACTTAACCGTCAAATCACATTATTGTAAATATAATTTATATCATTCTAATATTTTAAATATAATTTAATACATATTATTTTATTATTTTTGTTTAAAACTATTATTACCATATTAAAATTTTAATTATAAACAAAAAACTACTGTAATCATCTTTAATTTACTTAGTATTACATTATAATACTAAATTTTTCTATTTAAATAAACTCATTGGTCCCAATGCGAAGTAACGGGATACTGCTAATTTTCACTAATTTAAAAAATTTTATATAACAATTTATTCTTGATGTTTATTTTATATAAAACTAGTAGGTGTAACCCATCGTGCTGCGCCGGAGATAAAAACTTGCCCATAAAGTCAAGAAAAGTAACAATGATATGACTATATTTTAGAAATAATAGCGGCTTAGTATTTTAATAATAATATTTACAATATGATAAGGTTAGAAGAAAATAATCTAATAAATTTATATAATTTATATAATTTACATATTTAACCCTATTTCATTTTTAGGTCCTTTAGTTTTACATTTCGTTTCTTACTCATTCTTTTATTTTTTTTATTTTGTTTCTGTTTCATATTTCATTTTTCACTAATTTATTTCATTTTTTTTTTAGATATTTTAGTTCTTTCGGTTCTACAATTAATAAGGTATTTTTTTATTTTTATTTATTTTTTTATTTCGTTTTTATCTTATATTTCATTTCTTAATTTTATGGTTTATTTTTGAAAAAACATTTTCCCATAGAATTTACTAATCCGATCTATTGTTACAAAAAATAAATAAATAAGTAAATTATATATGTCAATCTATTTATATTGAACCTAAAAAATAATTAGGTCTTTTTATTAAGATATTTATTTAAAAATTGTCTGGCCTGATTTAGAATTTAATTTTGATGATCACAAATCGGCAACTTTAATTGCTATATTTGTCAAATTTTACCCGAATTTTTGGGTAATTTTCAATAAAAAATGATCGGCGAGGGTTCCCTTGTCATTTTCCTAATATGGGCGTAATTTTTTTACTTTAATGTTTTATGTATATTGTATAATGT